GGCACCGAACAAGTTATCGGAATTATTTAAAAAAGAACTTACTATAGTGCCAACACAAGACGGTTGAGAGTATAGAAGAGAAATGTATTTACACCAGACGTCGCTCTCGGTTCTGCGTGAGTACTGACCCCGTAGGCCTCGCCGCCTCTCCGCCTCTTGCACAACCGCCTTGCCTAATAGCGCCATCGCCACCACCACTCAAACAAATACTGTGACAAATATCACATATCACGGCCACTGTTGAGAGTGAACACTTTAACTTAAGGTACTTAAGAGTATGTAATAGAATATATTTTCCTGTGTAAGCAGCCAATATGTGATTTTAAGATGTAAAAACAACTACTAGTGACATGTCAAGAGAACCATTCGACCATTCTTTATGCCTTCGTACTCCTTTATGTTATACTCTGAAACGAGAAATTACAATTCACTTGGACATTTCCCAGTCACAGTTCCAACGACAGCTGAAAATGATCGTCTATAATGAGGGTGTCGCGAGTGCGACATCGGCGAGTGCGGGTGCGGCGGTAAGACGCTCTGCATACTTACATTTAAATCATTTATTCGTCTTTCATCTTCGTAATAATAGTTATGGAATGGAAAGGGATAGAAATCAAACGCAAGATGGTCGTTTAAACACAATATAATATTATTAAAAAAGAAACAATACAATATACGAACAATATTGTAGACTCATGTTTACAGAACTGTCGCCGCGAGCTTGTCGCCTGTCGCCAGGACGTTCGTGCACACACAACACTGCGCCGCTGTTAACAGCTATCATTTAAGCAAAAAATTTCAGTTATATTTAACTCTGTAATTATACAAAATATTGCAGCAAATTATTCTGTTTATGACCATTATTTTGATTATAATTTTTGTAGAGTATGTGCAGAGACGTCCCGCGATGGCCGCCGCCGGGCGCCCTGCACCAGGCGTCAGGCACCAGGCGCCCTCTTGGCGGACACAATACCGATACAAAGCCCCAGATAACGCAAGGCGGCGGCCACATTTACAACTCTTAGCATTTCTACACGCAAACGTTTTCAGTATATTTATAAGTAAATCTATCGCAGGTCGGGCGCGGGGACGGTAGTTTTGTTTTAGTTGAAATGTATGAAAAGTTGATCGGTTAGCTTTGTCGGCGTGATTGATCGTCTTAGTGTTGTTGTGTCAGTGCTGCGGTGCAACCCGCCCCGCGACCACCGGGTACCACTACTCGTTATTTTTATATTTTTTTAATATTTTAATATCGATATATCTATATTATACGCTGAAAGACAATATACACAACGCATAGTCCGCCCGTCCTTCACACTAACGCTACAATTGATTTCAGCTTTATCTCATACACAACGTCCATTTTCGTTGAGGGGGAAACGAGCCACACGGTATTTAAATACGCACAATGCAACGTCTGCACATTCCGGTAAATATTACATGTCGCAAGCCTGAATCCGCGCGACGCCATGCGCGCCCACACGTCGCCCACGATTCTGCTAAACACCCACGCGTCGCCCAGTTCTCTGCCAAACGCGTACGCATCGCACATTTCTGTCAAAAGCCTGCGCATCGCCCACGTTTCTGTCAAACGCCGAGGCGTCGCCCACGTTTTTGCCACGCGCCCCTTCCCTTCGCCTACGTGCGTCCCTCTGCATTCATATAGAATATAGATAAAAAAATGTAAAAAGAGACTGCCTAAATGAACGGTTTAGTAGATTTATAGCTTTTGGTTTTTTGCAAAAGTGAGTGTTACGTGAAACAACTCCACAGTCCGCAGACAGCAACAACAGGGGGTAGACTGCAACCGAACTCCACTTATACAATGTCGCTCCACAACGCATTATTTACAAGCAGACGACGCACATTCCATTCATCGTTTGGTACAAAATTGACAACAAATTGATTTTCGCGCCAGAACCATTACAATATAATTAACGCGCTAGGAACGTTCAACGATTTCGGCCTACGAACTTGTCACCGCAATGGCAGCCTCCCAAATAAATGCGGTATAAAGTTAAACTTAGGAATAAACCGAGTATAAGCAAATATTAGTGCGAATTTTGTTTATACTCAGTTTATTCGTAAGTTTAACTTTATACCGCGTTTATTTGTAAGGCTGTGGGACTACAGATCTGCGTAAGGATTGTCCGCTGCTCGTTGGCCATTTATTCAATTTAATAACTTAAATAGGCTAACAGTCGTCGTCTTTATTGTAGTACATTTATTACGTTCACAAAAGTACAGTTGTAGCTGGAGAGGTGGCACGACTGAGCCTCTTTATCCGCCACCATATCTATTAATTGATTAGTTAAGAAAAGCTGGG